AAAGAGATCTACAGGAAATTCCACACGTAGTTGTAGGTTTAATTAGCCCATGACATGTCCATGCCGAGTAATAATACTCCGACGTACGCTGACTTTCAAGAATCAGGAATCAGGATTTTATATGTTCTTTTAGGACTTAACTTTTACACACTAGTGTGTGTGGTTGTCATGCAAAATCAGAATGCGCTCCGTGAAAGGCGCGGAGAAGAATTTCCAGTTTCTTAATATTAATCAAGGAAACTATCTATTAAATTCCTACAAAAATATATGCTAGCCATCTATCTGGTCCAATCCATGGCTGCCACCTTTGGAAATTTCAAACGCTGCAAAATAATACTTCTCCGATCCTAAATATAAGACCCTTATACGCACTAATATAAATATTTTATATTTAGGACTTGAGGAGTATAAAATTATGTGTATGGAATTAAATTCCCTTCAACTTATAGAACATTGAAAAGATTGACAAAAACAAAAAGTCTCCAAAGTACAACTATATGAAATAAGAAGCATAATTAAAAGATTTAGGCTTCATTTGTTATCATATTTGAAATCACTTATAAGTATATTTTACATAAGTTAAGACAAAATGTTTCTCACATACTTACTTTGTATTTTGTAAATCAAAACTGAAAAATTATTTATAATATATTCTCAATCATTCACGTTGTAGCACATGCTCACGCTTAGTTGAGTAGAAAAGCTTAAAATGAAGCAGGTAGAGAAATGGGAAAGAGAGAAAATAAACGGGAGATAATATATACTAGGCCTATAAAATAAAATAAAAGTAACTTTGTGCGGACTCATTCTAAGCCCAGTCAGCTCAGTTCGGGTCCGATCCCCAGTCTAACAGTCAAGGGCGGCCCGTGCCCGAAGGATGTTATTGGTAATGACTGTTTTGTCTCGTCTTTTTGATCTTTCTCCCTTCTTCTTCTTCTTTTTTTATTGGGGATATTAGGTGACGAATCCGCATTGGTTCGATTTTTTTTTTCCCCAATGCGAAAAAACACGACTCGGGGGAACAGAACAACACCGGTCCTTGAGCCAATTAATTTTTGCTTCCGTCGACGTTTCCGTTGGATCTTATAAAGATTAAAAAAAAATTGATTCAATATTAGTGACAAAAAATAATAAGAAAAATTAATCATTTGATTTCAATAACTTTAACTCAATCAAAATCCTGTCATTAAATTCTAAATTCATTGCAACACAATTTTCTATAATTTTGATTCAATTGAAATTTTTTGCCGTTCAGTTCAAAAATTTGTTATAAATTTTAAAGTTAATATAATCTTTTTCATAAAATTTGATTGGATTTTGATTTTAATTCATGAAATTTTAAACTAGAGATTTTTGTTCATGAAATTTGAGATCATTTTAATTTAATCTCTAAAATTTGAGACTAATAATTTTATTTTTTAAATTTAATCTCATTTTAATTTTGATCATGGTTTTAGGAAACCAAAACACTATTTTAAGAACCAAAATTCATTAAACATATTAGGATGAGGTCAAATTCTAAGGGGTCAAAATTACTCCGTCTGATTTAAAATATATAAGCTAAATTTTATCTATTTACGTTTATCAAGAAACTAATTAAAATTAATTTAAAACAATAAATGTGTAAGGTATATATTTGTTTTTCTTAATATACCCTTATTAATGAAAAGAATAAGTAAAAGATACAATAAATAAATTAAAAATAAAAGAGAATATATAGGGGTAAAATTGGAAAAAACTTATTAACTGTTGGGATGAAAGTGAATATTATCTTATAAAAAAATTAACCTTTTTAAGAAAGTTTAGCTTATATTTTGAACAGCAGGTAGTATTTGTTTTAAATTTTAGGGAAGAAAACTATTTAGTAATTTCTAATTTTAAAAGATCAAAATTTAGAGAGTAAAGATATCATTAATTCTAAATTTTATGCCTGTCATGTATTGAAGTCCGTATTAGTCAAGCTCAACAAGATTAGGTGGGGTTGAAGCCTGAAAGCAAAAGCAGAACAGGAATCAGGAAGAAAATTGCGACACTCGAAGAAGAGCAAGCGCCTGCTGCATCCATGAATGAACATAACCCTCACCCTGGACGTTGGACCCATCCTTTCCCCTTTTCAACTCTCTTTTAAATATTTTTTGGACGAATCTTTCTTATTAAATACTTCTCCTACTGTAAATATAAAAATTATACTATAAAATGAGTATTATATTTATACTTTTCCAGTGCTAAATATAAAATTTTTATATTAGTGTGTATAAAAATCTTATATTTAGACTGAAAAAGTATTATTCTCCTCTTTACATATTGTTTAGGTCTATCATTTCCCCAAGTTAATTTCTGCTCCGCTTTTCCATTTAGTAGCTGATTGAATGTAATGGATTCAGCCCTTTGTTTTAGGGAACTGGCATTACGTCCATCCTCCTTTAATGAAATGGAGCTTCGATACAATGGACGCGTCTTTAAAAAAAAAAAAAAAAGGCATCTAAGGTGATTGCTATGGAGTAAAATGGTTATTTTAGTCATTTTCTAGTGTTACAGCGGCCTCTGAAATCGAACCATCATCCTCTTCTTCTACAACAGTATCATTTCTGCGGAGGAGTTTCCGGTTTGAAAAACCCAGAACTGAGGAAGGGAAAGGATTGGGACTTGTGAAAGTAAAATCAATGCATTCTACAAATAAACATTTGGTTATGCAAGTCCTAGTTATTGTGGTTGGAAAATGTCTGACGAAATACAAGAAGATCCTTGCATGCTCTGTTTTTTAACTTTTCATACTCTCCCACGCGACGCACTTGGTTTGATCAATTTGACCTCATGAATATTCCTTTATTACCATAGACAAGCTGGAAAGCATTCCATACTGGATCTTCAAATTTAATGGGATCTCCTTTCATTTCGTCAGTGTAGGCTCTAGTTTCACAGTCGGAGTAAGTGGAAAATATCGTTTCTCTCTATTCAAATTGAAACATAAAAAGCCCAAAATGATGCATATGGAAACCGAAAATTTTTGTATGGGACCAACATGGAAACCCAACCATTGAGGCGTGAATGATAACTGGAGTACTATCAAACGTGGAATTACATTACGGCGATCAGAAACAGAGGTTTTACGGAGAATGAAATCCCAGCAACGAAACTTTGTCGGTCATCGTGAAAGAGAGTGCGCTTCTGGCTATTCAGTTATCGTGCATAGTAGGATATATGCGCTTGAAGTTTTTGGGCAGCGATGCTGCGAGCACAGGAGCAGTGAGGTCAGAAACGCCGTGGACGCCGTCGGAAGAATCTCCTTGAGAGGAAAACAAGCGAGCAAAAAAATCTACCCCAGTCTCGTACATAATTCTCTTTACTGATTTCCTGGGATGAGGAATCACCGATGCTTTGGTCTTGAACTTGCGAGGCTCTTTGGCTGTTTTGTCCATCCGATCGGCTTTGAGCTTTGTCTTCTTCTCTTCGCCTGCCCAGCTGCCCCTATCTGTGACCGGTCCAGGTCCTCCCTTCCTTGAAATTTATAGGCCAGAGAATGAGGAGGACCGTGGCCCCTACTTTTGAGGAAAGATACGCCGATACTGAACAATCCTAGAAAAAAATGGCAGCAGTGATATGGACCCCACCTGATATGGACACCCGCGGCCCGCCTTTTGTTTTCTTACTGGCCAGTCTCAACTCTCACCGTGTCTTTCTTTTTTGTTTGTTTTTTTGGTTTAACTCCCCAATCTTGGCTATCCAGTCTCACTGCGCTTTATTCCTTGTGTCATTCTTTATTTTTTTTGTTGCCCACCCAGTTCACCGGAGTTGTATCATTCTTCATTTAATTCTCACATCATAATGATAAACGCATGATAATTAATTAATTACAAGACCCTGCCTTATAACGAATTAAAATTGTTATAATTCCTCCCATCTTAATCATAAATGTTGTTTATAATTTACAAATGATATCTTATTGAGATAATACTTTGTTAATAGTAATTTTGTTCCTCTATAACAGGCCTTGCGTTGGATCTGTTTATAATTTTCTCTTTAATGAAGAAATTGCTTTACTTTCTAGAGCAGCGCATATCGGATTGGGAAGTGGCAGGTGCTGTATAGATTATAGATGTGGCGAGCAAGGGCTGAAAAAAGAGGGAATTAAGTACAGAAGGAGCGATCTCTGTATGCGTGCGCGTGTGTATGGCCTTCGACACGTTGGTGCTCCTGATGAATAGTGATGACCGGCCGGCCTTGTAGGCTTGGCTAGAGAGGGGGCCCACTGCGGCGGAAGATGGCGGCGGCTGAGAACCCATCTAATCCTGTTTCATTATTATTAATGATAATTATAATATCACTGCGTGGGAAAGAAGTTTCCAAAGATTTCCCAAATTCTAGCCTGTGGTGATGGTTTAATGTGTAGATTTAGCTTTCCCCATGCCAAGTCATCGTGTCCCTTGCCATCGGTCATTCAGTTGTCCGAGCTCCTCCACGTGTGAAATTATAGACGAGGATCAATCGCTTTGTACTGTCTGGCCGTAAAAGATGCCTTCCAGTCTTCCGTTATTGCGCTCTCCCTTTTCCCATCGACCGCCTCATTGTGTTTTTTTTTTGGGCAACCCAACCGCCTCACACAGAACCACCACTCCATCCGTGTCAAAATACTCCTTTAATTTTATTTATACATTACTTTTAATATCTTACATGGGAAAAAAAAACATTAAACTCTGATAACTGTTTAAAATTCAACTACTTTCAAATTTTATTTTTAGTTAATATACACTATATTTCACATATATAGAATTGACCGAATACTAAATAAAAAGTAAAATTATATATCAATATAAAAAAATTTCTCTCAACACCATATAAATATGACTAAAAAATATCTTCTCTTTCTGTTCTATAAATAAGACCAGAGGAATATAAGATAAACTTTATTCATTTATGTTTATAAAAAATTAGTTAAAATCAGTTTAAAACGATAAATATGTAAAACACATATTTTTTGCCAAATATGCCTTTATTAATAAAAAAAGAGTAAAAGATGCAATAAATAAATAAAAAAGAAAAGAGAATACTATGTGTTAGGTGTAAAATTGTAAAGAAAAAAAAAACTCATTAAATACTTAGTTAAATATAAATGTTATCTTATAAAATACCAAGTCCCTCCAACAAAATTTATCTTGTACCCCTCTAATCCTATATATAAGTTTCAAATAACCGAATCACATTAACGAACTAGCAGCTAGAATTAGTTAAAAATAATAAATATGTAAGAAATGTATTTTTTTTAAATTTGCCCCTTTTTATTAAGAGAGTAAATGAGGAAGGCAATAAATAAAAATAATGAAAGAGAATATATGAAGGTAATATTAATAAGAGAGATGGAGTACTAAATAGAGTCAACTAATAGTAAAATAGGAAAAAAGATAATTAATGCTCAGACAAATTAAAAAATAAAACTTATATTTTGGACCAGATTCCTCCTTAAAAATGAAGCCTATATATAGAACGGGAGGGAGAATTTTGAACAGGAGGGGGAATAGTAATTCAAATTGGTTAGCGTCGTTTAAGATGCATTAATCAGTGTATTGCTCTCATATATCCCAGCCACCTCTGAGTGTAAAAACCCCATCATTCAGACAGTTTCTAAATGATCTTACATTAAAAACAAACAAATACACTGTAAGATTTGCAAAAATAAAAAAACTGCGGTACACAAACTGTCCTTGGAACGTTGCAATGTTCTTTCTCCGGGGATTCAAGTTCACATCTGGAATTCAAATGAAACATTATCTTCTTTTTCTTTTTGTTGGTTGATTCCAGAGCTGCTTCCCCATCCGGTTTAATATATAAAATAGTATAATTTTAGGATAATTTAAATGTGTTTATAAGATACGAGTATATGTTTAAAATATGTATGAAAATCTAACTAATATTTTTACTTTATTTCTGGGGTTCATTAATGACATGATATATCACTATGTCGGATCGCACTTACCGCTCACTTCTCATAAACAATATCTTTGAAAAACAAATACAATTTTACATAATTACAATTTTTAATTAGCCTTTTTATTGAGATTTGCTGAGGTGAATATTTAGATTGAAATACTTAAATACCCAAACGGAAGGAGAGGAGGAGACGATCTCCAAAGTTCCCCTTTTGCTCGTCAACATTGGCGGCTGGGCAAAAGGCCATCTTCATTCGCTGGGCCATGTCAGAGCATTAGTGGTAAACAAAAATGTGATTATTTTTTTAAAATGAAAGATAAATTATAGGGGCCTTGAAATAAACATTATAATGTGGAGGGGGAAGCACCTTCCCCTCCTCCCAACACACTCGTCACCCTGCTGTATGCAGATAATTTGCAATTCAGCAGATAAATGGATGGTTTCACGTTTCCTTTTTCTTTTAAATCAAAAAACAAACGACATTCATATACTCCCTCCGTTCCTTATTATAAGAGATATTTGATGCTTATGACATGTTTCTATATATAAGAGACGCTTAAAAGTTGTCTCTATTTTTGTGTTAATTTTCTATTTTACCTATATTTATTGTCTCCAACTCACACTCTCTCTCCTTCCTACTTCTCTTTCTTTTTAATAATTTATCATTGTTCTCCCTCATACTCTCTCTCCTTATTAATGAGGGTATTTTTAGAAAAAAAAATTATATTTTTTATACATTAATTGTTCTTAACTAATTTTAACTGTTTTTTTTATCAACGTAATTCGGTTATTCGTCTCTTATAATAAGGAACGGAAGGAGTAATAAATAAGGATCTTACAAGCTCTTGCTTGGCCCGTGCCCTAATGATTACGTGATGCGCTGATGCTTACATATACAGGCTAATAAAATGATGCTTGAAATTTTGAGCCACGAACTTACTTTTTATTTTTATTTTTAAGAAACTGTTAAAAATGCCCGCTATAGTTGGCCATTTAAGCTGATCATTATTGGATTCTAAACAGAAGTAGTGGTAATTTATTTAACATTATTTTTTCTTCCACTGAGATTTTTTCCCTTTTCATCCAGGCCTGTCGTGTGTATTAAAAGTTGAAAACCGCTCACTTTAATGACCTATTATCCACAACCCTCCCCCCCTCAAAAAAAAAAAAAAGCGACTTTGACTTTAATTTTCCACTGTCATTTCTGTCTCACGAGTGAAAGATCTCTCTTCAACTGAGAATTCGAGGGGAGATCGAGGTTGAATGCAGGAGTGACTAAAAACGTCATTAGCCTGGTTTTGAACAAATCCTGACATATTACCTATGTGTAAAACTAGACGTTCACGCGAGATAAAATTAAAAAAGAAAATAAGACGGAGTATGCCATACGGAGTAGTGGCAGAATCAGGAGAGGGTGAAAAGATGGGGGGTGAGTTCAAAAGTCAAAAAGAGTTTCTGTTTGCGAGCTCTTTTACGCGGTGAACAGGAATGAAACCCAACAGACACGGGCGGCTTGCATATTGCTCGTAGTTTGAAGGCTATGGCGGCAGTTAGCATCCTAGCGTAACTCATATCACATCACAGGGTTGGGTGAGACTAAATTGAGAAAGGTTGTCAAATCCAATCAGGATTGGGCATGTGGCCACAAGTATTCACTTCCCCCGGTCCTCAGTGAGTTGGTGATGTCCAATCAGTCAGACACCGTTTTACTTTTTCACACGCATCCGTTACGCCCAGCCTTCGTCACTCACCAAGCAGCGTACTCCTCGAGAAGATAAGTTTTAAATTTGAGGAGGAGGATGATCAATTTTAATATCTTACTATTTTTAATTTTATTTTAGATTATTTATTTCTTATTTTTTGGCATATTTTTTATATATTCTTTTTTATATTTTTCTCATTTATTATAAAAATATATTTGTAATTTATTTATTATTTTTAACTAGTTTAACTAATTATTTGTTATCTATAAATTAATTATTTGAAACTAAGTCTTGAGCTTAATATATTACTGTAGTTTAAAATTAATTAATTTTATTTTTTGAATTATTTTTAGATTCTATTATTTGGGTAAACATACACTAAATTCTTAACAACTTTGCATTAAAAATTACTAACTCTAATTTTTAATATAAAACTATTTTTTATTTAATTTGGTTTTAAATATAAAACTTTAATTTACTTTATTTCTTATATTTATTTATTTTTTAAAATAATATTTATAATAGTTATACATATTAAATATTTATTAAATAATAAATTTAACTAAAATATATAGTTATTAAAAATATTTTAGTAAAAACATCATAGGCAAACTTATTTTTTTCATGTGAACTAAACAAATCAAACGTCCGACACACGTGTGAAAAATTAATAAAAGAGACACGTATTTCAAGAACCAACAGCAACCCTGCCTGGGTACTGCTGCAAACTTTTTTTTTTTTTTCCGTGAAAAGAAGATGTATATTATTTATGCGATGAGAACAAAGTCAGTTCTGAGTACAACAAAAGCAAAGCTCAGCTAACGAACAACCAGACATGAAATCCTTTTTTGCAGTGTAATCGCAAAGGGAAGGCGACTCGTTTACACCGTGATGCGCTTGGACATCCTCTTGGCCGAACAAAGTGCGGTTATGCTTACGCCATTCCCGTAGCTTCCAGCACGAAATTCCGAATATTGCTGCAAATTTTATGTAACACATGAACACCACCGTTTCTCTTGCATGATAAAGAACTTAAGTTTATATAATTTCTATGCCTATTTTCAAATTAAATCAAAACAGGTGGACTTTAAATTCAGAGATAAATTAAAATATCGTTAACTAGAATAATGGACGAAAATATAATTATTTTTATTCAAGTGAAACAAAGTTTGTTCATTGTATAAGTTGAAATACCTAAATGTTTTTAATGCTTTTTTGTTGGGTTAATATAATTTTCTATTCTTAAAATCTGAGTCCATTTTTATTTTGGTTTCTCAAATTTTAAACATGTGGTTCAGTCCCCCAAATTTAATTTGTCTTAAAACCTTAGTCTTTAAAAATGTAACAATCTTAAAATTTGCCTAACTGTAAGAATGGAGTTAAAATAATAACACGGACTCACTAGATCACGCCTAGTTAAAAATTGTGTGGATAACAGATTATACAGAGAATAATGAGTTTTTAAAACACAATGTAGTAAACAGTCCCTCAAAGAAACATCCAGGGAAAAAAAAGGTTAGACAACTACATTTTGAAGACATTTTCTTTATTTTTTTTCTCTTTGCTATTTGCATAAGATTTAGCTAGATATCATTTAGTGAGTCTACATCATTAGTTTAATGCTATTTATAATATTTCAGAAGATTTTAATAATATTACACTTTTACAGATTTTAAGATAAATTAAATTTTATGGAGTAAAAACACATGTTTTAAATTTAAGGGATCAATACTAAAATAGACCTAAGTTTCAGGAGAAAAAGTTATATGATCATAAAAATAATTAAAGCCCAAATGCCTACTTGGGTATATTTCTTTACAGTTCAGACCCAAAAGGATGGTAACGAGAACGTCAGTCTGGGTTGGTAAAACCGGGGTGGGCCTAACAAGCTTCAATTTTTGGGCCAACAGCCCAGCAAGGTTCCAGATTATGTGAAGCATCCAAGAGCGAGGGGAGGGGTGGGGAACGGAGCCTATGGGAGGAAGGCGAGGAAAATTGGAAGGAAGAAGGAAATGAAAGTGACGTGGAAGAACAGCAAGAAACGCTCGTTGCCGGCGGTGTCCAACTTCAGTAACCTTCCTTTTGAGCATCAAGAGGAGGATGTGACTCCTCATCAAGACCATGCTCGTTTGCGGGGCAATAAAGATGCCGAAACCGGTGCTCGTAACTCGGACCAATCCGAAGATCGGGACAGTCCCCATCACTCTGACTTATCGGAAGCAAGACGTCTGGCCAAAGAATTTCAAGCTCAGGGAGACAAGCTTGCTGAGGTATTACTATCACTGTTTTTATCCCTCAGTTCATTTTTTTAATCTGGAGGGCAAAGGAGAGAATTGTTTTAGAAGCCGTGATATTTCCCTACGGTGTGCCACAGGGTAGCGTTTAGTTAGGCAGATGTTCACTGATTCCAAGTTGTGACTACCATTACAAATCCCTTTGCATTACGAATAACACCTTTTTGTCGTGTAAAAGATTAAATACTAAATTTACATAAACAATATTTTGAGGTGAAATGCTCTTTATTCTTGTTGTTACTGGAATGTTCTGGGATTTTCCAAAGGCTACTTCCTCCTGTTGTTGTTAATTCTCCTATATTTTTACCACCTATTTTTCTGGAAATTTTCCTCTGTCAGTTTCCTTAACTTTTCTGTTCAGCTCTGAGATATCTTTCGATCGATTTTTCGCTTCTATCCATTCGAATACTCTTGGGAAAGTTCAATCTCATTTTAATGACTTTATCAATGTCAAGCAATTGTTACATGGACTGAAAATTGTGTCTTTTTACTTGTACCACACCCTTTCATGCAGGATGGGAAGTACGGGGAGGCATTAGGTAAATGGGAGTCTGCTCTGTCATTGACACCTGATGTTGCTGTTTTACATGAACAGAAAGCCCAAGTTCTCCTGGAAATTGGAGATGCTTGGAATGCTTTGAAGGCTGCAATCCGTGTGTCCCTGCTCTCTATTCTTAATCTTGTGTATTTTAACTGTACGTTATTATATCTCCAATTCCAAGATTCAATAAAATAAATGAACAGTTTCTGCTACTATTAATCTTTTTTGACGTGTTCTAAGTCCTATAAACTTATTGAAAAACTCTTCTGGACTTAGACCATAAGCTTTTCCATCTGTATATTTTTAATTATGTTCTGGAGTTTGGAAGCCACATGTTTTGGCATATATTTACTCAAAGCACTATTGACTTAGTGCTCAATATGCTCATTCACCGCTTCTATATGGCAGGAGCTACGGAATTGCAGCCATCATGGGCTGAGGTATGATGTTTATAATTTAGAATTATCGTAGTAGTGAATATTGTGAATATTTTGAATTGTTACATTGTCGTATTTAGAGGATTTTTTTTGGGTCTTAAAAGCTTTATGTTGTGTTTGTATCATTTGAAAGATATTGTTAGAAGCTTCTCAACCTAATAAAGCTGCTTTGATATTGTTCTATGTAACATGTATGGTCAATTAGATTTATGAAGTCTGGTTTCCTTATTATGATGCTCAAATTCTTTGATATTGGAATATGGAGTAATTATTGGTTATTTGGCTGGCTCATGTAGTCAAGCTCCGGCATTTATGTATATACATAAATAAATACATTTCGGAATCATGTAGACAGAACACCTGTATTTTACATGATTGATTCCCACCTGTTGTTATGATGTGTCTTAAAATTGATAAAAGAGAATTAATGCTGGAAAATCTCTAGCGTTGCAAGTCTAGGCCGTTAGGTTCAGAACCAAGTGGCATATTTCTCTTGTTTGAGACCAGTAGAGAGTTTCAGCAAACCTAAGATCGGAGATTGCTGGATTGTTACTCCTCTCCAGCTTACTTTAGTTTTTTAATAGCATCAAATTCCTCTAGATGCTGTGTCAGCCTGTTGACTTTTTTCAGTCCTTTTTGGTTCTATAAATGCCTGCCCTTGGCTAATATCTCTTATCTCTGATATATTGTCATTTTGTTTTTTATTATAAAACAAAATCATCATTGAATCGTATCTGTTGGATCTTTGAAAGCTTTTGTCTGTTGTTTGTATTAAAACATTGGTGCTTAAAATTATGTTATTGGTTGATCATGGATTACATATGTCTGATGTAATGTAACTCTTTTTCTAACTCTTATTCATATGCAACTCGGTCTCTTCAGGCATGGGTTACACTTGGCCGGGCTCAGCTAAATTTTGGCGAACCTGATTGTGCCATTGAGAGCTTTGACAGAGCCCTATCTATCAAGGTGAACCTTTAAGAATATAATCTTGGTTGTTGGTTTTGACGTTGCTCAAATCTTATCATGCTGGTGAATCGTGTGATATGGAAGGTAGAATTTAAACAGCCATAAGATTGACTGACTAATGGTGATATCATCCCAATGTAATTTCCGGTGGGAGAAGTTAATTATTTTACAGTTCAATTAAACGGCAACTTTTTTTTGAAGAAGCAAAATTTCAATGAATTCCACGTTTGAGAAACCTATACAGTCTGACTGATCAGGAATTCCATTTTGAACAGAAGACCTTTTTTTTCCCTGGGTTGGGGTGTAGCGTTTAACTAGAAAATTTGCCTCTTATCTGAGGCGAATGCACCCCTTCCGATGCTTGAATAATGTTACTAAACGGATCTTTGCGTCTGCTTTCACTTTGATATCTAACGAAGTGTATTGGCATATGCAGCCTGATTGCGTGGATGCTCAAGGCGACAGAAAAACGGCATCACATCTTGTAAAGAAGAGAAAGCAACTCCACTCAGCAGGCTTGAGTAGTACTAAAAATCGTTACGAGGTGGGTGATAAAGAAAGCGCCTGAAGAAGACTTGACCTGATCGCCGCAGTTGCGTTCTCAGAGTTCATTGGCGCGGCCACGTCTTGTCAATAGTCAAATACAGATGACTGGTGCTACACCTGTATTTAACTGTTTAATAATAAATTACTCGGCGAGCAATTTTTTTCTTTTTTTGGTTGTTTTGTTTTGATAGAAGGCGAGCAAATATTTGGGTCGGACGTCATCGTTAAGAAACAGTTTTCTTGATGACATTCCCTACCCTGTTGCGGACGATTTCTTCCGTAAAAGTTCCCTTCGTACAAATTAATGTTAATATAATCAGGGGCGTGACGGTGCATTATATTACTATCTCCGTTTTAATTATAAGAACCAGTTGATTAATTTGAGGAGATTAAGGAAAAAAGTTAAGTTAGTTATTTGTAATAAATATGTATTGCCTTTCTTAAAATATCCTTACTAATCAACTATATTAGTTAGAACTACTATTATTAGAAGGATTATTTTGGAAAAAAATACATAAATATGAGATAAAGTAGATTAGAGTCTTATATTTAAAATCAAAATAAAAGTCAAACAGAGTTTTATATTAAAGACCGGACGGAGGTAGTATATTATAAATTTGCTACTTCAAGAATTAGCAAGGGTCCGGTGATTGAAGCGTGGATCCCAACCGTGGCCCGTGGGCTAGGCCTCGCGATCAAGAGCAGCAAAAGATAAAAGGAAATGATGGTAATTAATGTTATTAAACTCGCAAGTGTGAGTATCTCAGAATAATAATGTGAATTCATGATATAAATTTGGATCAAAAAAGGTTGCCTCAATTATTAAATTAAATATTTACTAGAACATACAATTACATCATCGATTACAAATATTATCTAATAAACAATGACAATATAATCCAAAATAGACTAATTTAAAACGATTTTTCATTTTTTAATGAAATTTCAAACTAATTTCAATACAAAGTCACTGAACAGATTTGGATACATACATTTATACACGTACACAAACACGAAAGTTTTTGCAGTAGTTTTAGATTGGTTGAGAATGAAAGGTTGGAGAGGGAGGAGTAACTTGTTAAGTTTGACTACTTCAAAACACAGCACTGGAGAGTCGGAGAAACAGCGTGACACTTTCCGAGTTCCCTCACTCTCTGTGTTGAAAAATGAAAATAGGGTTCAGTTTTTTTTTTTCCAATTAAAATTTCTCGACTCCCCCCCCCCCCAATTCAATGATATAATTGCTTCCAGGGGATTTAAGTGTGATTATCCCTTATTAAAAAAATAAAATAATTCTTAGAAAATGGGGGTAGAAATTAAAAGATCGCTGAATAATAGAATGGGTTCATTGTAATGAACGGAGGAATTTTTTTTTTTTTCCCCCTTAATTGCTTTGACCATCTCTTAGGATGCCTTTTCCCTTCCAAAGCCGTAGGCCCGTGCCAAAGAGTCAAAACAGCGTAGGATTTAGTGGGGGACGGGCTAATAAGGGATAATGTCCCAGTTTGAGGAAACGCAGGAAACCGATGACGAAAACTCAATGCAGTGCCTTTCATGCCAGGATTATTACGTCCCAGGAGATGCCGGCACCTGCAGGGAGTGCTATGAAGAAGTCAACGAGACCGAGGAGGAGCTCAAGACTGAGATCGATGACTTGAAGGCCAAAGTTGCCTTCCTCAGCCTCTTGTCTCCTGTTGATCACCATAATCGCTCCGATACTGACGTTATTTTGGTTCCCTCCGATGAGAGTTCTGATCCACCCTCCCTGACCGTTCCAGCTCACAGGGTTGTTCTGGTCGGTATCTCCTTACCCATGTGTTTGATGAATTTTTCCATTAAACCTATTCTTCTTCAGTGCTGTTTCGATTTAGCATAGGGCTACCCACCACTGATGAGGCAAAATTTGGACTTTAGCTGTCAACTTTTTTCGAAGAGCACTCTTTGCTGTGTAATCCTACTCGATTTTAACTTGAATCTTAAAACAAAAGGATTTTATTGAACATCCGGCCCATGGATTCTCGTGTTTTGTCCTACTTTTTCTGTTATGCTACTTTTGCTTATTCACCAGAGGAGCGGGAGTTTTCTCTTCTTCCGGCGGGGGCCTTGTATCGTCTACCTGTTAATATTTTCAACTCACAAATCAGGGGCACTCAGAGGATTATGATCTCTTTCTGTTTTTTTTTTTTTGCCAACGGATTATAATCTGTGTTACTAATACCAAGCTAATAATGGTTGGCAAAAAAAAAAAAAAACCAAGCTAATAATGTAGTTGGGTCATTGTATTCTTGTGAAATTATTCTTGTTAAGGGTTTCATCGATTTCAGCTTTGCTGTTAAAAGCACTCGCATTTGACTATCTGAGAAGAAAGTGATGCGACTTTTTAAAATAATCAAGTTTCACTTGCGCTTAGGCAAGTGCTTTGGTCTTCTTTGGCACTTGGAGAATTACGCGCGTTTTGGGTGTGCCTCGTAGTACACATGAGCGGGGAAAATAAAGCAGCATAAAACAAGAAGATATGAATACGTCCTCTATGTTTTTCCCCTCCTGGTTTATCTATCACTAGAGAGTTTGAGAAACCCAGTATGCTTGCTTTCGTGTATTTTAATAATTTTGAAGACTGTCAGACAAATCAGCAAATTTTCATACAGTGCATATGAATAATGCTTTGAGGCTATAAAGGAATTCTAAATACCCCTTGCAAGAACTTCAATAAGTTGTTGAATTTAATGCTGTATTGTTCCTAAAAGGCTAACTATCAGATGACCGGTAGTAAGATTCTCACCACAGCGTCCATATATTCTTATACGTTATAATTGCCCTGTCAGCTGTCAAGTATGAATCATGGGTTGTAGATCATTTTAAGTTTCCTTGGAGTGGCAAGTAGAAAGAATGACAGTTCTTTCTTCCAAATCTGGCTTCCTTTCTACTTTTCAACTTTCCTTGGGGAATTCTGGTAAAGGACTGTCATGTGACTATATGAGATGCGCATCTGATGGCCAAAAAAAAACATGAGATGCACATCTAAATCAGTCCATACTGCATGGATTTTATGTACTGACTCATGCATGCTCCGTATATCGGTAAACAGACACATCCATCATGGTTCATTTTCAAAGTGCCAAGCCTCTTTGTTCTTCGTGCATTCGTATATTCCCCCCCCCCCCCCCCCAAAAAAAAAAAAAAAAAAGTGACACAGATGAGTGAGACTATATACAAGGTTTACATCTCATTATTACTCTCATAATCTCCCTTCTGTCTTTCTCGGTATGCACTACATACATTCGCTTTATGAATGTAAAAGTCCGGGTTGCTTTATCTGTAACCAAAGGGACATGCACTCTAACTTGTAAGCATGTTTATAATCTTTTCCTTGTTCATTTTTGGGTGTAAGATGAACCAAAAAACGAAAATTGCTGAGCTATTGGTAGGGATGATTGTCTTGCTATTTTCTTTGTATTCATACTGAACTTGATGCTATCTTGATATTATGTGATTAGGTGAGTCGCTCTCCAGTGTTCAGAGCAATGCTTGAAAATGATATGGAGGAAAGACGAAGTGGTACCATTAAGATTAGTGATGTGTCATACAATGCTCTTCGTGCCTTTGTTGATTATTTATACACTGCTGAAGCATGCCTTGATGACCAAATGGCCTGTGATCTGTTAGTTTTAGCTGAGAAGTATCAGGTGAAGCATCTCAAGGCATGCTGTGAAAAGTATTTGACGGCCAGATTGAACTGGGAAAAAGCAGTCGCGAATTATGCCTTTGCTCACCAACATAATGCTAAACAATTACTAGATGCAGCCCTGGCATTAATCACAGACAACATGGACAAGCTTTCTAAGCATGAGGAGTATGAGGATCTGGTCGAGAGCAACCCTCGTATTGTGGTTGAAATCTACGAAGCTTACCTCTCAAAACAGGTTAATACTGCAGCCAGCAAGAAATCTTTCAAAAAGAAATAGCAAAAGGACATGAGAAACTAATAGAGTCGATGTTGTGATATGTTCTTCAAGTTGGATATTCTTGACCGGCTATTATTTTTTGGATATCTGAAATGTAAATGAGTGTAGTGTTAGCAGACCCCATTATTCCAATCCCCCTTCCGAGTTTGTTTCGGTCACATTTCCTGAGAGCATAGCTTTTTGGAGATATAACATAGATGTCATTTTTTGGTTGAAATATGTAATATTATTTACTTTTTTAAGTCAGTTGCACTTTTTGCGACCCGCCGATGCTCCCAAACTTATCTACGAGTAATTTTGGGGTCTGCGGATATCTAAAGCGAGTTTGTATTTTAAATTTTAATAATAAAACTATCTCAAGTTTTAAAGTGCAATTTTTTTTAATACACGAAATTGTTTTAAAAAAAAAAAAAGAGAATGATTTTTAATGAGACGAAATTATAGACATTTCGTGTGCGCTATGGAAAAGAACGTTTCGTATACCCAAATATGATATATATTATTTATTATATTTATAATATCATAATTTAACATAGTAAATGTCTTTTTTAATGATTATATTTTACCTTACACGAGACACGAGATGTTTTTAAATTATAAAAGCATATATTTATATTTTAATTTGCAAGCCAAACAATCCTTTTACGTATACAATCATGTTTGACAACATATGAGAGTTACTGACAATGTCATTTCATTTACTTGTCTATTTAAAATGAATTTAGAAATGAGAAAAGAATGCTGAAAATATAATCATAATATTTTTTTGGCATATCACGCACATCTATCTATTGAATAATTAATAGAAAAAAATGAAAAATATATACTTATTGAATTTGAAAATGACAAATAAGTAATTTTGATATATTTTGACTTATCAAAATCATTATGAGTAGTCAAAACCGTTACAAGAATAGTCGGTACAACCTGTTTGTTTTTTAAAATTTAATGGATCTGTTTTTTTAATCATTTTGCCTAATCAATAATAAAAATAAGTTGGCAAAAAATCAATGACAAAAATAGATTAAATTGCATGAGGCATTTTCATCCAATAAAAATTAATTTTATTGCATAGGTTCTATCAATCTTTATATGAAATTCTTGCTCTAATAACAGCTGTGAAAATAAAAGAAACACTTCGACTGAATATGCATTTTGTCTCATTTAGTTTGCCTTCTCCATGCTTTCAAGTTACTGCAAGGTGGTGCCAATCAAATTGGACCAAACGCCATTTAATGCTAGGTTGAATTTGAATCGGCTTACTTACAGCATTCACTTGTAGTTACCAGATACGGGCCTTTTGAACATGGGATTAAAGCAGCGATCAAGGCATTGTTGCTAAGTATTGAATTGGCTTTTGAAGGGAGATGCGCCAATGCCTAGTTGTGAGCCTACTTCTGGCGCACCATGATATTTAATTTCAGACAGTTATAGCTATCATATTTCTTTTAATATCTTCCAGCTTGTCAGAAACGCTTCTCAGATCTTAATATCTTCCAGCTAGCATAGGGACCTTCGCCCACATCATGCCGGAAATTCACCCAACCCATGGCATTTGCGATTTCTTCCAGTTCACTAATAACAGATATGTAGTCACGTATATATACACGCCCACCAGGTCTTAACATTCGATCCATCTCTAACATGATAGTTGAGATATTACACCTTTTCCTGAGACAGGTGAATATTTCAGACCCCTACGATGGTGGTTGTGGAAAACATGAATGTATCAACAAGGAAAAAGAGAGTAATAAAAGCATGGACAAAGTGACATACCTCTTTTTCTCAGCAGAGAAAAGACCCGCTGCATGCAGCAGATCATAGGTTCTTGGATATGTGTCAAACGGTTCGCACCTACAAAAATAAAGTAAACGACGATGACAATAAAGCAGGATGAATTCCATAATATAAAAGTCACCAAACTCACGATGGCGTAAAGGCCAGTGTATTATGCGTTCACAGAAAATGCTTAGCATTCTTAGAAAGCTTTCAACCAAGAGAAGTCAAACTTTAATGCACATTGAAAGAAAATCGTTAATCTTTCGGAGTAGACAAAGTGAGAATAAATCACAACGAAGCATATAGCATAGTTTATGTTTCTAGAAAACAGTTTTGAAATAACACCAATCCTAGAGACTTATAGCATAGTTTATGTTTCTAAAAGCTTAAACAAAGTTGAGAGCCAAAAGCTTTTAATTGATTATTTTCAAAATGCTTTTCTGAAAAAAATCTCCAAAACTACTTTTGTGGAGTTGGATCATTGTTCTTTCCAGTTCCACAGAAATCAGGAACGTCGTTTAGCATTCACACGCCAATATAAGATGACAATGTCAACTTTAGTATGAGTTGCAAACTTGCATAACATCACAAAGTAAGTCCATAACCCGAATGTAAGCAATTTAACCAAATAACAAACACAAATCTCATACCAATCATGAACCACTCCTATCAGTCCACGGTCATATACAACAGGCAAGGTATTGAATTCACTAACAGGAACAACATTCATAACCCAACAATCAATCTGAAGATCACGCAGAGCGGCTGCAAACCTGTTATTGTCAAAAGAAAGCAACTCATCATACACATAAGGACAGATGCATGCTTAGAAAATCATTCTACAAAAAATCATCACTGATAAATGACAAAAACACAAAACAAAATCAATGGCTTATTCCATACCCCCCAAAACCTGCCCTCATGTCCATAACATTCCTTAGGTTGTACTCCTTCCAATGGTAGGCTCCAATATAGCTATCTATAATTTCCTTCCAATATTTTGATTCAGCCTTGAAGAGTTCCTTCCTGGAGATATGGGCATCCATTTTAATGCTCTGAAGCCGGTCTGGCGGTTGATGAAGGCGTGCAGGCCACTTAGAAACATTGGCTCCATAAGCACTACTAGGTAATCTAGAGATGCATGCCTTAAGGTCAGTATACCTGCAAAATCCTTCTGGCTATCATGAGTTTTGGTATTCATTCATCAAATGCAACCCTATACCTAAAATTTTTATCAAGTTCTCGCAATATTCCAGATGATCTATAAATAAGCTTTATGCTTCCATTGACTAGCTACAAATTAAATCTTAATATGAAAGGCCCATATGGAATAGCTTATAAGTAGCTTTTCAATCGTGATTTGTGTAATACGAGGTAAATATGTGAGAAGAATTTTATTTCAATTTGCGTGAAACGTGCTTACAAATGCTTTTGCATGCTATTCCAAATTGTTCACCGTGCGTTTCACTTTTCTCTCGATGAGTAATCACCTTATTTAAATTTCAGAGTTTTCTTGTCTTGTTTATGTATAAAGAATCCAAATTGCTGTAAATCCATAAATAAAATTTAAAAAAACTTATTTGAGAGGACATTTAATAACAAATAAGATGCCTAAGTCTCATAATGAAACATTATGATTGAATTTCGGGACATACCAAACTTCATCAGGATCATCATTGGAGTCACAAATCAGAGGCTGCACACTGCTGTTACGACTAAGGTAGCAGCTATTGTTCATTGGTTTCTGCCATATAGCTATATATCCCTCCTTTCTCACAAGTTCCCAGCAAATGCGAGCAGTTAGGTTCTCCATTTCTGTTATGTAATCAATTCAAAAATCATGATTTCCTACCTATACTTATGATCAAAGTCCAGGAAAGAAGCAGCTAAATATTTGATGATATAAATATTCAAGTCATTTAAAAATATTTCGGACCTCTCCAACCTCGAGTTATCATATAGAAGTAGGAAGACTCTCAAGAGAGCAGCACCAAATCATCGACTAAAAAAATTGATCAGTGAAGATACCTTTCCATTGATCTTGGAGGATCTCTTCATGTTTGTAAACAGGTTGTGCTGCCCATACAAAGTGTCCACCTGCCCTAAGCAGCCTGTCGGCCTCAAGAAGCAAGATTCCACCTTCAAGAAAAGCCAAGGGAAAATGGGATATCAGTGCAAAGAACTATAGCCATATAAGTTAATCGTAAATACAAGTATATCCCTCCCTCTGTGTGTGTGCGCGCGCGCGTTTTTTTTTTTTTTTTTGGGTGGGGGCTGGTGGTGGTTTAGAAATAGCATTCTACAGAAGGAATTAAACTTTTCACAGATGTTTCAGTCATCTCATTTAGGACTGATATTTTTCTTTGGTAAAAAATGGTAAACACTGAGAAACTCACGGTTCTTATTAGCTTAACATAATTTCTTTTTCAGCGCTGAAGATGCAGGATTAAAGGGTTAAAAGGAATACAGCAAATAAGGAAAAGTAATACCATCACGCATCCAATTGATTCTGCATCTTGAACAATGAATCAGGTCAAACGCCTGGCTAGGGAATGGCAAACGGTGCGTAGCAAAAACTGCTACCATGGCAGGAACACCACGCTCTAGAGCGAACTGAATCTGGTTTTCGTGAACATCTTTTGGTGCTATTGAAAGAGTGGTGACATTACGTTGCATCAAATAAGCACCAAAACTTGCCACTCCACAGCCAACGTCTAAAGCAACTTGCGTGTTGTGACCAAATGCAATGTCAGGAACCATCTACACATTCATTTCAAATGATCATAGCGTTGCACCTATGCAATGTATCAATAAACAATAATTAATAAATAAGCATCCTAATAAAAATTGACACCAACCGCAGAAATCTGATCCAGGTATTTATCCGCACCATGAATAAATTGTGTTCCACCACCAGGAAAGACAAATTTATCCTTCTTTATAGATATCCAATTTTGGCCGCCTTTATCTTCAACAAGACGTGTATGAGGTACATTACTGAACCAGACCTGTCATTACGTATATAGTAACTTGAAGACTTCTCATCTCAAACAGAACTGGTGAAAGAGTCACAATGTGCAATAATGAAAAGCATGCACTACTGAAATATAATTTATAAGTATGTTTATATGAAACCAAAAGAAAAGGTTTCAATTTCACAATCAACAAGTTAAACATTGAATCATGGCTTTAAATGCCCAAGAAATGAAAAGGAGGATATTCCTTTCTAGATTATGTTAATGATGTAGGTTTAGAAAATTCAATGCCCCTGTTAACCATCTTAGATGCTTCACTAACAGGGACTATCAACTGCTGAAAGATTATCGATATTCTAGTTTATCTCCCAAGCCAATTGACCGGCTACTGCTTATTTATCTTCTGAAGCATAAACTCCAATTCTGTGAGAAATTGAGGCCAACAATGCAAAACAGGTAGTCATACATAGTGTACGTTATACAGATCACGCAGTTAATATCCAAACCGCCGGTCTCTGTTTCATCATCAATTCCAATATCACCCCCTCCACCAACTGACATTTAACCCATTCTTCTGATCAAGCCCAACACTGTATCTAAAGAGTCCACTTTAAAGTTTCAGCACAGCTCAAAGACCCCCCCCCCTTACAAGTTAAAGTCAGTCCAGTAAAGCCTCACACAGAAGCAAAATAAGACCCTTTTGCAGTCCCTGGGATGGATTAGATAGTTCTCTATCTTGTTGGGCACAATGACAACTGTAACAAATATCTAACCGAAAAATGTGAACAAGTTCAGAAACAACATCGCACATCATGCAATGAAGATTCTACTTAAACATCGCAAAACCAAAAAAGGATAAATAACTGATAAACTTACACAGTTCCAAGTTCCAACTCGAAAAGTACCTCATCTCTGCTCTTGGGCCACGGTATTGGACTCTTGTACCCCTTCGGCATTGGCACCAAGCAATTAAGCCCCTTGCCTTCCTCGGGACAATGCCGCTCGTACTTTCCCCCCCGCTGGCTCGAATTCAGCCTCTTGATCCATTCCTCATTGTCCAAGCAAGGTACATAGTCGGTCATGCTCCCGTCGCAAACCTTAAACCTCTCAATCCTAACTATGACGTCACTTTCTCCCCCTTCCCCCTCTCGTATCTCGCTCAAATTACCCAATTCCTGTAGCAAACTCGCATCAAGGTCTCCAATTTGGAAGTCATCCGACATCACACCATTGTCGTCTACAACGCCCATCCTCTCCACAGGCGGCAGCGGAGGTACAACGAATACCTTCTGACGAGGTGGCGGAACCGGAGATCGGTCCGCCGACGAAACGGTAAAGGAAGAAGTTTCGCCGGAAGGGGAGCCGGAGAAGAAGGTGCGGGAGGAGTAAGTGGAAGAGTAATGGTTCAAGACGAATATGAGGGGTAGAGAGAAGAGAAGAAACGCCGTAAGCTTTACGAAAGCAGAGGTTTTAGAGAGATCAACGGGTAAAAGGCCCAAGAATTTCATGGTCACCCCGTGGGAGGAAATCGTAGGCTACCCTATGAGGGTTGGTTTATGGGGTCTGAAGGAAGTGAGGGAACATGACGAACGGAGGCCGACAGAATGAAGGTGACGGTGGGAGGGGGTGTTGTCCGAATGTCCGTAACAAGGCGCGAGGACGTGAACGAGTATACCAAAAAAGAAAAGAATAGATCATGGATTTGGGTGACTAGTACAGTACGTGTGAGTGTTATAAGCAGAATCAGTACAATATTATATTCTTAAATATGACTTTTTTCGGGGCGTCGAAATTCTGATATGTGAATCAGCAGGCTTGCCTCTCGTGGAACTGTGGGACCATTTATGACGCAATGGTGAACGCGTTGTCGTATTGGCCAACTGGTCGTTGCGGGTGGATGCCGGCTGCCATGGCATGAGCGCGCTTCTACGACGTTATTCTTTTCTTTCTATACTTTTGCCACGTGTTCATTTCATTTTATGAACAACGACAATTTTTTATGAAAATGAAAGTAGAAATAAAAATAAGAAGAAATTGTTTTTTTATTGCAGAAATATTTATAAATATTCTCACATCATTGAATGGATTTTTTTTTGTCAAACTTTGAAGGGATTTGATGCGATATCCTAATGATAATTTGTTGTTTTGGCTTCTTCCTTAACTCCCAATACCAAACAAAATATTCTTTAATTTCGCCCGTGTTTTAGAGCAGGTCATTCTATAAATTGTTCCATTAAAATTTTTTTTTTAGTTCAATGTATAAACTCTGTGATTAAAATGTTCGAGCATCTAACTAAAAATCCAAGTTTAAAAAAAACTAAAAATTATTATATTACACATTATTATAATATATTTTGTTGCAGGAATACTAATTGCATTGGATTTTCTGAACTTTTGTCATTATTTTAGAAATCTTTTTAAGGGAACGCTAACAGAATCAAAATTAAAAATGAAAACAGAATGCGCAGAACAAGCTAAGGGGCTTGACCCCTTGACATAGCACTATAGCAGTATGGCACACTGGAAACTGGAAAGTAAAACCAACAATTAACAGCAACAGTATACAACTTTTCGGCAAAAGATCTAATTCATAACTTAATTTGAATTATAAATTAGATCTTGTATTTATATTAAGAAGGTGAGCTAATTAGCGGAAGCCTTCTCTGTCATAGCCAAGCAATGTGCATCAAGAGATAGGATATTGGTTCCAGCAGCCACTCTACAATTTACAATTTCCAACCTTCACAACTAGCTAGTTTACCAATATCGCCGATGACTAGCTCCGATCCTATGCTTAATAATCACAATATATAAGATTCGTTTGTAATTGCAGGGAGCTTGATGCAGATCTAGTTACTTGGAAATTTTGCTCAAGTAGATATGACTCGGACTAAGAAGAATTCATCAAGAACAGCTCAACGGATGGTAAGCAACATCATGTTCTTGAATTCCTGGAAATCAAGCAGGCCATCGGAATTGGTATCATATACGCAGATCATGGAGGCGCAGTCTTTACAGCTCTTTGGGTCCCATAAGCCAAGCCTCTTCAGCGCACACTCCACCTCTTCGCTGCTGATGAATCCATCTCCATCCATGTCAAACACCTCGAACGCCTTCACCAGCTCTTCTTCTTCTTCTTCGCCACCCCCTCTGCTCTCCCCGCTACTGTTACTTCTCGATATGGACTCGTAAAACATCAAGAACTCTTCCAAGTCAAGTCTCTTCTTCCCCACCAGAGACTCGACCTCCTCTGCTCCGTAATTGAATCCTATATTCTCCGCCAGTCTCTTAAGACTCTCAACGCTAACATAACCATCGCCCTTCCGGTCCAGCTTCTCAAAAATCCTCTGCAAGTCATTGCGGGTTAGGGAACACATCATATATAAAACGGGGATCGATCTTTGAATCTTGAATATGACTGTTTTGTGATACGCTAAACTGATATACAAAGACGCATATGTACAGATTTTTATACGTTTCATGCCAACCTATCAGGGGCATATATATAGGAAGTAGAGAGGCGCTCGAGTCTATCACGTAAACTGGGGTTCGTGATCCTGGTGTACCGGAAAGTACAAGAATGAGGGCCAGATTAAATTGATTTGGATGAAGACGTTCGAAAGTGTGGTCGTGGCATGGGTTCCAGGAAGTTCCCCAGGCATTTCTTTGAAAGCACATTGTGATTTCCAACGGATCAAGTGGATGTTTCTTCTTCAGTTCCACGCTCAAGGAAGTGTTTGGATAAAATCCAAAGAAAATAGTTTTTGAAGAATAGATTTTATGAAGGATAGATTTTGTGAAAAAATGATTATGATAAAGTGAAAATGTTTGGATAGTTGTCATTAGAAGTACTTCTTATATATGTAAATTATTAAAAAAAAGCATAAATTAATATGATAATAACATAAAAGATAGATTTTATAATATATTTTAATTTGAAGAAATAAAATTGTTAATAATATATTTTTTTACCAACATAATTAATAATATATAAGATAATGTAATTAATAAATAATTAATATGTGTATATATATTTATAAAATATAAGATTAAATATGCTTATAAAAAAATAATTGAGGGGTCTTAAAGTCATATTATCATTAAGATCTACTCTAACAGACACAATCATATTCTCTAATTTGAACCAGAAGTACAATGGATTTAGGGGATGTTTGGGTAGCACCAGAAGTGTTTCTGAAAAGTACTTTTTCACAAATCGAGATAAACTCCTTCATATATTTACTTCGTATACTGTAAAAATACTTTTAAAACTATAGTTTTGATTCCATCCAAACATCCTTTTACTTTTTCTGAAATCATGGTTTTGATGCAAAACTATGGTTTGTTAATTTTTCCTCTTGTTTGGCAAATGATCCCAAAACTATGATTTCCTATGTTACCCAAACAAGCCCTAAGTCTCCGTCAACATCATTTCCACGCTAAGATGCATCCAAGACCCAAGATCAAAATATTTTATTAGGTGCTTTAATATTCTAAAATATTTTGTGATATGTCTATAATTTTAAAATATTTTTTTAAGTGTATTCAGTCTATTAAAATATCTTATGATATGATTCCTGTAATTATATTAAAAGTAGTTGTGCTTTTTAAAATATTATTTCATGAGCAGTTTTAGTTTTATTATTAACTCCTCAAAATATTTGTTAAATTAATATATATTAAGTATCATAAAGTATTGTTTAATATTTTTTTTAAAGATGTTAGATACACTATAAAATATTTTAAGATAATTAAACGTATTTAAAAAATATTTTAAAGTGTTAAATATACTGAAATTTTTTTTAAATATTAAAGGTGCCAAAAAAACAACTTTGAATTCTGGACTCATCTTGACCCATCTTTTAATATTGGGCATATTGGCCAGGCTGCGTTTTTGAATGGAAATGTCAAAAGATTTAGTGATTTTCGGTAATTGACCAACCGGCAGGCGCGACGCGGAACTTCTCTTTGTTGCGGTCTTCTTATCATCCTCTTCTTTAATCCTCACCTTCCATTTCATCCTAAGGTCATGAAACACTCAATAAAATATCGAGATTTTCAGTAAAATACTATAAAGACGGTGAATTTTTAATTTTAAATCTAACTGCCTTTTTTTTTTCTCTTTTTAAAAAAGCCCCTTTTCCCAAATACTCTACATACCCATATGAGTAACACAAATGGCCGGAGTTTAATTTAATATGCGAGAATAATTTTCATTCTTATGTGAAAGAGTAAAATGTTATATTTATATATGCAAATCTCAACATTTTATTAAGTGTTTCATGACTGTCAGATGAAATGAAGGGTGAGGATTAGAAAAGAGGATGGTAAGAAGACTGTAAAGAAGAGGAGAGGTTCCGCGTTGCGCGTGCGCGTATTAATTACTTGAGTGCGATATTCTAACTGCGTGTTGAGGGCGGGAGGGGGTCTTTCCTCATGGAACACGTGTCAGGATTACTTGAGTGGGATATCAATTATTACGTCATAATGAGTCTAATATCCTGTTTGATACAAAGTATTAAAAATGAAGGATGAAAACTGAAATTACAATTAAGAAAAATTACTAAAAAATATTTAACATGAATAATTACTTGGTACTCCTCCGGTCCTTATTATAAGACCCCATTTGACTTTTTATTTGGTCCTAATTATAAGACCCCAATCCATTTTGTCTCTTATATTTATGCATTTTTTCCAAGATAATCCTTCTAATGATGATAGTTTTAGCCAATATACTTAATTAGTAAGGATATTTTAGGAATGATAACACTTATTTATTATAAATAACCAACTTAACTTACTTCCTTAATCTCCTCGAATAAGTCAATTGGGTCTTATAATTAGGACCGGAGGAGTACATGGATTTAGACAAACTCATAAAAGTAGAATTGAAAAATAATACTTTTTCTTACAATGTTTCCCAATCCCACATGAAGAGATTTGTCTAATCCTATGTATTAAATAATATCTTATACTAAATTCTCTTTTAATAAATCTTTTCGATTTTAATATCAATCCCTATCCTTTATTTTTAATACTTACTTCGTATCAAATGAGACCTAAATATTTAGACCATGTCTCTTCCGTCTTGGATGGGTCAACTCATTTGCGTTTACTATCTTTTTCTTTTTTTGCCGGTGTAGTGCGTTTACCATCTTTTGATGGGGACAAGGATATTTAGGTCATAAAAATGATAATTAATGACAATTAGGTATAAGACCAGTTTTTGGTAAATGAATTGCAATATTGATTTAAATACAAATTCATGAATCAAGTTCAAAGGTAGATATTTGCAGATGAATTGAAACTTAAAAAAGTTCTATACAGCTGGCATAAAAAGGAAGAAAACAAAACTTTTGTGCAACTTAACTGATCAAGACATCAACGAAACCTCTGCTCTAACTAAACGAGATAATGGGAACCCCGGAAAAAAACTAAGTTAAATACAATTGCCAATTGCCACTGTCCCAGAAAGAAGCCTTATTTTTTTTTAAAAAAAGAATGATAAACCCAACAAAGCCTTCCGGCATCACTGGGACGCATTATTACGATCAACGAAACGTCAAATCTAAAAGCAAGAATAACGAACAATGCCCAGAGGGCCCAAATTTGCATTGTTTCACCTTCAAGACGTCAACGAGAATTTGCCGGGTTCCGAGTAGTTCTTCTCCAACTGCTCAATCTTGTTGATCTTGAAACCTCTAATTCTTGTTACCTCAGGCTGCGACGCATCTTTGAAGTCAACAGTTTCAAGGGTCCACCCCTTGTTCTGCACCGAACCAACGATCTTTACCTATTTAACCATATCAACATAATCATATTCCAAAATCCATATCCATTAAAAAATTCTTCCACAGTACAGAGGATCATCTTCATCATATCAAATAATCAAAGTTTCAGTTAAAAAAAAAAAAAATAATCCTGATCGAGTATGGGATGGCAACAATTAGATGGAGAATCGAAATATCTGCATCATGAGTATATGAAGTTCCGTTGGAACTGAATCACAGGAGATTTATTAGTACAACAGTCTCAGGGTTCTCAATCTATGTAATGGAGTTGAGATTAGCATCGAGATCTCTTTAATTCTCTCCCTCCGTGTGTGCCCCTCAATGATATTTTCAACAAAAAATTAAGCAACATTTTAAACTATTCACAGCGAATAACCTAAGCAGCATATGATTGTGAATTTAACTCAAGTGTTTGATTATTTATTAGACGACCTGACTGTCAAATAGTTATTATTCCTCCCCAGCAGCTAATTTGATCTTGGGAAACTTCCAAAACAAACAATGAAGCAAATTTGTTCAGCCATACCTCAGCATCATCAACAGCATCAATAATTAAAGTCCCATCTAAGGACAGATTCTCAAGAAAGATATTTTGACCCTTTATGGCCAATGTAGACCTCTGAGATATTGAGGAATTTCCACTGATTTTGTTCTTGATCTGACAAAAGGTCAGGCCCCATTTTGGCTTCCATACAATACGGGGCCATACCTCAACCTCTTGCCCGTTGAAAACCTGCAACACCGGATCTGGTATCTTGACACCAGCCTGGCAGAAATAAGAATGTAAAGAGATTGGGTTATACTGTCTGGATTTTGACTTTTAGCGATGAGAATCTTGGCAGTATGTTAGCCTGCCAGTTACAAATACCAGTATTTTAGCCACAATAGAAATAAGAATCGCTTCATTTTGCCTACAAGTTCTACAAAGAAGAAAAACATTTGCATATTCCACTCTTAAACTCATGAAGTTTACTAATGCTCTAATCCCATACAAATGCAAAGGAAATTAGTTTTTCTATTTTTTCTTTCCTTTTCTTTTTTTGGGGGTTGGGGGGTGTGGGGGGAGTAAAAAGGCTAAGCTTGCATCAAGCCACTTCATATGTACAATTGCACATCTGCCGGAAAGGCTGGAAAGTGTAATCTTTAACATGCATTTTTGGCTCCGAAAAACCATTAAAACAGTTGGAATCAGAATGGATTTATTTAATTTTCCTTCTAGTTGATGTGGAAGAGCACCCCCTAATGATAGGAGGAGCATATTACCTTTTTAAGGACGAGGCTGTTAGCACGATAGACAGCCATTTCTCCGGAGGTTGCACTATGATATGGATTTCCCTTCGGTACCTTCAGTCAAATAAAAATAATATCAGACATAGTTCCCCTGTTGAAAACTTTTTAGCGATTAATGATATTTCAGTGAATTTGTACCATCATATAAAGCTTTTCTACCATCCAAACAGTATTTTATATCCAAAGCTCCCAACTCAGACTGAACTATTGATTAATTATTTGCACTCTGTCCTCCATCATATGCTATATATAATTAAATATGAAATAAATCATGAAAGACTTTTAAGTTTTCCCTTTTATTATTTATTCTAATGGGCGTTTCTTCATCTATGAGTTTTAGATGTCCTGCATTACTTCTCAAAGAAAACAGCAAGGTC